GAATTGTACTCAACCCAGAGATGCTTCCACAGTGTTGGACAGCCACGGTGTGAAACAGTACACAGCCAGTTCAAAGGAAAAAGATATTTACAATATGTTTACTTCAATTTAAAAAAAATTAAGGACAGAAAAAACTGAACAAACATACAAAGATTTCCAAGATATACTTTTAGGTGAACAAAGCAAAATGCAGAAGAATGCTAAATATGTCGGGACATCTGGGTGGCTCAGTTGGTTAAGTGCGGCTCAGGTCATGATCCCAGGATCCTAGGATCAAGTCCCGCATCGGGCTCCTTGCTCAGTGGGGAGTCTGCTTTTCCCTCTGCCTGCTGCTCCCCCTGCTTGTGCTTTCTCTGACAAATAAATAAGTAAATAAAATCTTTAAAAAAAAAAAAGAATGCTAAATATGTAAAAGAGAGAGAGATGTTTATATATTAGACCATTTAGCTGCAAACTAGCTCTGGAAGGTTCCTGGGAATCTGACACAGTGATCACCTCCTTTTGTATTTTTTTTGAAGCATGTGAATAAACTAGTATTTATTGATCTAAAGATTCCCACAACCACCACCATGGTTTCAATCAGGTCAGCTACCAAAACTCTATCAAATCATTCTCTCGTTTCCTTCCACACATTCACCCCAGTGTTGTTTTTCTCATTTGCTCTTTCTGAAACTTCAAATATTTATGTGAACCATAATTCTAACACAGTGGTCCTTCCTGATGAAACACAGCTTCTAGGAAGTAGTTTATTCCTTACTTTTAAAGAAACCTCTCATGAGCAGCATACCCCCATATATCAGTCAGAATCCGGTCAGGAGACAGGAACCCCATCAGTAATCTTGATAGAGAAAATCAAATTTTCTCTAAAATTGGTTGAAGAAGATTCTAATAGATACAGAAACTAGAGAGAAGTTATTCCTTCTATAGTGGTGGGAGAATAAAAAAGAAAGAACTTCATAAGAGCCACTGCACTCCCCACCCTACCCCAGTGAGTCAGAACTCATTAGAGAGGGCATGGCTCACACAGAAACAGAGACTATCAGTCGTGGAAAGGCAGAGCTGGCCTAGTTGGAGCACCTCATCAGGTGATGGAGTCCCTGGAGGTTGGGGGTGGGTTCCTAAAGTTGGTCTTTAGGAACTGTTCCCTTGAGCAAAGTAGCTTTCAGGAAGGTGTGGGCTGCAGATGATCAATGAAAGCCGTTGAATGGGTGCTCCCAGACCTTCTGCATGCTAATCTGCTGCTGATGGCAGCGAAGTCAAACACAGGACACCAGAAACAGAAAAAGAAACTCTTCTGTTATGGCCTTATGTTGTTCCTCCAGTGACAGCTTAACATCAAGCCTGTGCAGGAGAAACCTGTACAGGGTCCAGTTTCGACATTGCAAAATCAGGCCAAGAAGGGTGGATTTAGAGCTGAGAGACAGTAACTTGTTAACTGGTCCACCTTACCATCTTGAAATATGATTAATTACAGTGCACTGGTGCTATAAACATACAGAAGAAAAATGGGAATACTTACTTCTTATTGGATATTGGTATACCTTTGTTTAGTTTTTCATATATATTTTATTGTGTTTCATTTCTTCCGAGACAATCTCTGTGATAATCCTCACATAGATTTCTTTAAGGTTTTAAAGTGAGGTAGATATCATATATGTGGGAAATGAAGAGTTGGTTTTCCATTCTTAAATCAATCAACATAGATGACATTGATGCAAACACATCTATCTCTGTTCCATTGGTTTTAAGAGCATTAAGTACGGTCTGATTTTTTTTCTCATATGGGACAAGACTAACATTGGCAAACAATGGGCAGAAATCACAAAAACACAAATGTGTTATTTGATAAGTACAGATGTACATTTCACAGGTGTGAATTTGAACTGTCTTGAAAGGTAAGAACATCTATACAGGGAAAGGAACATTTACTAAGGCATGGAGCTATGAAAAAGGATGGCATGTTGAAAGACTGCAAAGCGGTATATGTGGACCTAAGTTTTTGGGACGGAAGCATTTGATGAGGTTGAAAATATAATCTGGCTTCAGGTTTTCAAAGTCAATGACTCTCAAAATAGTGCATCCGTGAATCACATGAGAATCTTGTTAAATATGTGGATTCTTTAGCTTTCTCACACCACAAAAACCCATTCAGTAAATTTGAAATAAAGGTCAAGGAATCTGTACTTGAACAATTACACAATTCACCCCCACTTTGGAATGCTAACGCTCCTGGTCCACACACTTTTTGATAAATACTGTATGAAAACATTTTTACTTAATGCTATTGGTCCCCAGGTAGGGCATGCACACTCCACGGAGCATGCAAGATGATTTAGTCGGGTGCAGGAAGAAGACACTAAAATATATATTTGCAGTTAAATTAAGCTTTATTAATAGTTAATATATGAATTGACACAGATGCCTTCACTTGATCTCTATACAGTACAAGGTGAATTGAGGGAAGAAAAAGACCGGACAGTGCAATTCTCATTCCCTCATCCAGCATGGTGTGACAGACAACACTTTATACTTTACAAAATAGAAAAGTGGCATAGAGAGATCTCTGAGAAAAACAAAACAAAATGAACAAACAAAAATACCTTAAAGATAACAGTAATAATGGAAGCAAGTGGGAACAAGAAAATGACAGAGTTGACCTTTCTCTTAAAACTAAATTAGCTCTTTGCCAAATAACAAGGTTAGAAATTGATCAGAAGTCAGATGATCAGAAGTGTGAATGAACAAGAAAGTAATTACTGCTGGGAAAAAACTGCTATGGAAAGAACATTTTAAAAATGGTTATTGGAAAAAAATTTATTTTGTGCTTTTGCAGCTGAAAACATAATACCTATCAAAATGTCCGTATCTTCACAATTTAACAACTTGGAAATAATTTCCTGACCTATTTAAAAATCTCCAAAACCTTAATACAATGTTTTGTTTGTTTTTTTCTAAATATTCCAAAGTGCTTTAGTGGGTTTTAGAAAGTTATTTGTCGGGGCACCTAGGTGGCTCACAGTCCGTTGAGCGTCTGCCTTCAGCTCGGGTCATGGTCCCAGGGTCTTGGGATCAAGCCCAGCATCAGGTTCCTTGCTCAGTGGGAGGACTGCTTCTCCCCCTCCCTCTGCTTGCCACTCGCCCTGCTTGTGCTCTGTCAAATAAATAAATAAAATCTTTAAAAAAAATGAAAAACTTATTGGTCAAAAATATAGAACTTCCGATTAGTTGCAAGAACAAGTGTTGTTCATCTTCCATAAAATCATTTTTCTCATCAGGGATAAGAAATTTAGGATGCTTTCCCTCTTTACTCCCTGCTCAGGCCTCACTTCCAGGTTTTACTGAGATAGCTTAGTAGTTAAAGTTAATGATGAGATTTTCCAGGTAGTATGTCTTTCCTGCTTCAAGAATACTTACCACTTAACATTACAAATTCCCACTCTACCACAGAATACAGGTCTTTATTTGTTTGAAGTTCTTAAAAGTTCTAATGTGCATTTTCTTCAACTGAGGTTACTTGGGAGATACACTCTTTGGATCCTTGCATAGCCTCAAGATAAATGGTCTCAACTGGGAAACAGATTTAGTTGTAGCCATTCTCTAAAGCTTGGAGGTTTGATTTTTTTCCTTTATAAATTCCTCTCTTTACCCTGAAATTGAAGAATTCGAGTATCTCCTCCTGCATGTCTAACAAGCATCTCAAACTCAACATTCCCCAAAACTCCTGATTCCCTCAGCTATCATCCCCAAATCTGACCCTTACACAATTCTTTCCTAGCATAGTAAGCAGAAACTCCATCCCTCCAATTATTTAGGCAAAAGCCAAAACAAAAAACCTGATTGTTGACTCTATTATCACACACCGCACCCAATCCATCTACTTTTAAATTATTTCCAGAATCTATTTGTCACGCCTCCACCAATTACCACATTGGTCCAAGCCCTAATGATTTACCTAAATTACTGAAATATCTAATGAGCTGGTCTCCCAGCTTCTGCCTTTACTCCTCACAGTCTATCTTCCAACAGCATTGTGACTCTTGAAACTAAAAGTCACATGAGGTCACTCCTCTGCCCAAAAACTCTCCAGTGGCTTCCCATATGTACAAATGAATAAAAGCCAAGGGCTTTACAACAGTCTACAAAGCCCCACATGATCTTTTCTCCTGCTGCCACTCTGTGCTCACTCTTACTGTTCTTGCTCCCTCGGCTCTACCCAAGGCGCCTCTTTGCCAGTCTTTGAGTCGCAGCTATGATACCACCTTAAGGTTTTTAAACTTCCTGTTCGCTCTCTGGAGTACTTTCTCCCCAGATATTTATGAGGTTGGTTCCCTTACTTCCTCCAAATTGCTGCTCAAATGTCACCCCATATAAAATAGTAAATCTTGCCTCTACCTTATCCCAACACTGTCACTTTTTTTATCACTTATTCACGTGTGACAGATTTATTCATCTTCTCATTGTCTACCTCTTCCTACTCAATGAAGGCATGGCTCAATGCTTTGTTCACCCTGAATTCTGGCGACTAAAACAGTTATCACTGCCATGAAGTAGACAATAAATATTTGAATGAAATGTCCACCTAGGTGTCTTTCATGCCCTTGATGTTACATGGAACCTATATAGCAAGAACCCTTTCAAACCAGTGTAACTGTCCTCTAGTATTTACGAATTGTTTTAAGTCTGTTTCCTTTTTTCTTCACTTATTCACGTTAAATATCCTAAACTTTTCTTTAAGGTGTTTTCATTTTTACTACAATCTCCAGGTCTTTGGGTTTTGCTTTTCTAGAGAGTACTACTACTGCACAAATTCCAGGCCACTAATTTGGTCCTCAAGATGGCCATTTCCCACTTTTACTACATTTTAATGTGTTGGGCTTTTAATTTACAGAAAGTTTACTTCACACTGTGAATTTCCTCATGTGCTTTTTCAAAATTAAAGTTGCCATCCATCTCTACCAGCAATTCTTTTTCACCACCACCCACTTCTGAGTTTTTTTTGTTTGTTTGTTTTTTAGGCTTCTCTAGACTATTTTCCTTTGTCGGCTCATTCACCCTTTGGCACAAGTCAAACTGTGGGACAGTCTGAGAGGCAATAAACCCACGAGCAATACAAACAAGCCAGTTACCTCTGCTTCTGTGGGCTGAGGATGTGTTAACCAGCAAGCTGCCAGGACCCAAACAAACAGGAACTGAGAGCCCACCATGCAGTAGCCCAGCAGGTACTCTGAAGCTAGTCTTCCTAGTACCACACATGTGGACTGCACTCTTTTCCTCTAATTCCATGAATCGAGAGTGAGGTGCTCATATTCAAGCCACCTCCCTAGAACCCTGTTTAAGATGAAAGGTGCAACCCAGTTTAAATGTGGGTGGAAGGGATAAGTACAGGGTATGACAGGATAAAGACACAAACTAGAGAAGAAACAGTAATAGGGCAAAACTGATGATAGTGGGGGGGAGGTTGTAGGAGAACACATATGAATAGACAAGTCCTTGATGGATGACCGGACATTTAAATCACTGTAATAGGAGGAAAGAAAGATTATTATATGCACACGTTTTTGAGATACAGTATTGAGAAGTCCATGGCTTGTTTCCTCCATCAAGAATACGTAAGGTCACTTCTGGGTGAAGACAATGAAGTACGATCAGAGCTCCATCACACTTAACAATTGGTAGGGGAGTGAGAAAAAAGGAAAAACAGTAAACCATCAGCCACCAAACAAGAAAAGACACATACCACCTCATGTTAACAAGGAAACCAAAGAAAGAAACAGATTCAGGTAAGATTTAGATTAGGCTCAAAATAACATCTAACCCACCTCACTGTAGGAAAAGAAAGCTGACAACATTCCAAGAATCCTCAACCACAATCTAGAACAAAACAAACTGAGAATAAGAAGATGCCCATAGAAAAGTCAATGAAAAACCCTTTACAACCTCCAGTACTTCCAGGTATTCCTTTTTTCCAGTACCCTGTAGCCACTTTGGGAACCATTCATGGTGTTCTCCCTCAGAAATGAGATGTACATACAACTAGAAGTTTGGGCACGTTATGGACCCTCAGAACAGAGTGGTGCTCAGGTCTTCCAAAAAAAGAATTTTATCCACTCCATTACCATTACACTACAGAAGAGGCAAAGAATACAAGAACTAGCCTGATGTGGGAGCAAATTGGGGAAAATAAGACTCAGAGAAGGTAGAAAGGCTGTCAGAGAGGACTTAGTACAATGAAAGCCCTCATAATCTGTGCTAATGGAACATGCACATAATTAAAAAAAAAAAAAGTTAGAGGGGGGCATTGAAATGATCTATACCCTTAAAAAAAATCCTGAAATATCTAAATGTACATTCACTGATCTCTTGATACAAAGCCAATGATTTTGAGCATGGGTCCTTAAAGTTCATGCTATCCATTTACAATTTTCTTGTTGCCATCGACCCGAGTCATAGCCTGTGGCTCTCTTCCCTGCCAGCCCTATTCTTGTCGTTATTTCAACACTCACATAAGTAACCACGGTCTCAGATCTTTGACTCCAAAGAGCTCTTCTCCTATCTCAGTCACTTCCAAGTTCTTGACTTTCCCTCATCAATACCCTATCACCTCTGAACTCTTGATTTCATATATCCCATCCTCTCTTCTCTTTCAGACTTATTTTTAGCTTCATTTCACTGAAGATTTCAGTTCATGGATCAGCCCCACTTTCATACAATCCACCACCTCCCTTATATTGTTTATTCCTTGAAGAGCTAAGATTCCATATCCTGGTACTATAAATCATCACTTGTGAGTATCTTCACCTCCCCGGCCTGCTTTTACTTCCATCAAAAGTTGAAAATCTATTTTTCTCTACACCTGCAATCAAGCCACTAAATGCTGCTGGAGAAATTTCATACCACAGGTTTGCCTAGTTTCACTTAAATTTATGTATAAACCCCCAAAAGATACATCACTGCCCAAATCCTACTACATTTTTTCCCACTGAGCTGGAGTTCCCATATAATTTCTTCTTTCTCTTCAAATTCCTACATCAACTACATTAATGCCCCCCAGTTTATTTCATCATCAGTAACCCTTACACTTCCTTTTTGTACTCAATGGTGTATAATGAAATAAAAACACATAACTAAGAATACAAATACTTTAAAACTGTTTTACAGTCAAAATGCCATAAACATTAGTGATGCCCAATAGGGCTAAAATAATCGAATAAGCCATGAGCAAGCTCATTTGATCTTCCCCAACCATTACACACACCAACTTGATAAAATTTCAAACTATTCCATTTTAAAGAAAAACATATTTATATTATTTAACAATTTTAAAAAGAGAAATTGATGCCATTACCATATTTACATTTTTAACATGGTAAACTCCATGAATGCAGTTCTTCTTTGAGTGTAAATTACCATATTTTATCACAGTGAATGTTGTGTAACTCAATGGGTTTCCATTTGGAAATTTTTGGTAAATCAAGTACAGTCCAAAAAAATATTCAAGTGTGATTAACCAAATCTCTGATTTCTTCTTTCTTATATAGCCTGAGCCCTATTTACATTAGTTGTGTAGTATAAATCAACATTCTCTGGATGATGAATTATAATTATAAACTATAATTCTGTGACAAAGTACCTACAAATAATTATGATTCAACAATACATCCTTCTCTAGAGCTACTTTTTATGTTAAACACCTGATCATTACACGATTAAATAAAAATGGAAAGTGTTTTAGAAAATGAGAGGAAAAAAAGCTTATTTGGCAATGTGCTGTTATATACTAGCACCTTTGAGCCTTGAAAAAAATCCAACAGCATCTACAACTCTTGCTATATCTATTTTAGTTATGTGAATGCTCATCTGCCTAAGAGCAGATGATCCACATGAACAGAAGAGCAGGATAAAACATATTTAGTGGGCACTTATGAACTGAATGGAAATTAAGTTTGAATAGGGCCCATTAAATTCTTCATTAAAGAAATTTCATTGCAAAAGAGTCACACATTATCACTGGCACAACCAATAGGATGATGCTGTTAATGGTTTGATTATATGCAGAGTACAGTTTGTTTTCAAACTATAAAATGTTAAAATCAGGGTACTCAAACTGTAAAGATGATTAATTCTATTAAAACAATAAAGGAGATAGTATATTGGACCATAAGCAAACTAAGCTCAATAGAGCATGTGGCTTGGTACTTTTAGGAAGAACTATGATTCTCTACGTTATCTAACTCATTAACAGAAGACTATAAATGTACTTAACTCATTAGTTTTCAAAGTGAAAACTCACATTGCATTTATTTTCAAAACAGAAATACTATGCCTGAAAAATCTCATAAATCCTTTTATGGAAAGACGGTCATCATCCATATCCTACCCCATAATACAGTTTCCGTATTCTTGGTTGTGATTTTTTGGCTGGAGGGATAAAGAGCAGGGTAGAAGTGGGGTGGGCATGTCCCCAAGACTGAAGTAAAGTACTACAAAATGTTTTATTTACAATTAAACTTTAAATTTAAAAATCCACTGAAATGGAGTAAGAATCACCGAACATTTTATCAGATCACATGGCCCAAATTTAAGCTCCATTCAAGAACCACTTTGCTTGAGAAATAATACAAATTGGTGGCAAAACAATCATTTATAGTGCCTACACCATGTAAATGAACTACATTATATATAAAGCACTATAATCAAACTTGGAGGTTAAGTAACTTTTAGTAAACTTAAACTGGATAGAAAGGGAATTCAGTAGCAAACAAAATTCTCAGATACATCATTTACTTAAAATTGACATAGCAGCCCCCACTTTTTGAATTTTGGCAATAAAATTTCATTAGCTTTACTCATTTAAATGGCATACATTTATAACTCCCAAGATACTCTAATAAAAACTACCTAAAATAATACACATAAGCCCAAACAGATCAATGACCTGGAAGTATTATTGCCTATTATGCATTTACTAAATTCTTTATACACCTATTTATACATTTTCAATTTTTCCTTAGTTATTCCAACATATTAATATAGAAACCATGCTGGCACCACAATACAGCCAAATGTGGCAATGGATAGGCCAGAATATATAGGACACAGCATTTCAAAATTCCTAATCCAGTTCTTAATTTAAGTCAAATTCAGTCATTTGTCCTTTTATAAAGTTAATTTACTATGGTTAGGGTAACCAGTTGACTATCAAATCCAAGTGAATAAAAATTCAGTCAAGTAATATTAAGGCGCATGTACTTAAATTTATTTTCATGTTTTAATTTTGATTAGCTTTTATAATATACTGCTGGTCTCAAAAACTAATTAGTTCAACAACTAAGACTCAGATAATCGTTATCTGACAAAGTGGCACTTTATTTCTGGCCACATATGTATATCCTATCATCATTTCTATTGTTAATACCAATAAAATGGAATTGTTATATAGCAAGAAATATGTCAACTAAATATGCCCTCCCCACCCTCCAAAAAAAATGTATCACTTTAACTTTGTTAGGAGTCACAAAAATTTTTATTTAGGAAAAATATTTCCTTCAATGTTTGATAATGAATTTTATTTAAATGAATAATTTACTTTTACTTTTCTGTGCAGACCAATTAAAAAGTATGCCTCTTCCCTTTCATAAGCAAACTCTAATTCTGCATGGCAGATAAGAAATTAATACTTTACTTTCTTCTACCTTAAAAACTAATTATGAAATTTTCCTCATTATGAACTAGTTATTTCTGTATGGACTGTTGTCATGCTGCTGTTAAAAAAAAGTTAGTAAAAGATATGGACACATGGGAAACAAATCATAAACTGTAATACTAGTTTATAATGAAATATATTAAACATTGTTTAAATATTAAACAGCAAAATACTCCTATATTAAATAAATAAGACTTGAATTTGTCATGTGGAACTGTAGACCAATACCATCAATAAGGGGGATGGTCTAGTGTAAAGGGTGGTCATCAAAAGAAAAAAAAAAGCAGGAAAGGAAAGAAAAGAAAAAAGAAAAAAGAAAAAGGAGAGGAGAGATGAGGAAAGGGGAGGAGGAAACATTTAATACTGGCACTGTTTTCAACAACAAATTGAATCAGTGATTCTCAATCCTTTCTGAACATGAGATTACCTAAAGAACTTTTTTAAAATACTGATGATCAGGTCTCAGCCCAAATTAAATCAGAATCAGGAATCAGGCAATAGTATATTTAAAAGGTCCCCCAAATGACTGTAATGTGCAGTCAGGGCTGAGAGTTACTGACTGAAACCAACAAGCTTCTTAATGGTACCTGACTCAGAAGAGGGTCCTATAAAGAAAGAAATGGAATTTTCTTTTACCAGTGGGACAAGACAAGGGTGTCTCCAGTTAACAGAAACTTCCGGGTAAGTCAAGTTTATTAATGCATACCTCATTTCCATTAAAATATCCATGTATACCTCTTCATTCCCTGTAATTCTGTATTTTCAAACTCTAAGACCTAGTCAAAGAGTACTTTTTGTAATAAATCTGTCACACTGAAAAATCATTCATGCATATAAATTATTTACTGAACGCCTACTATGTGCAAGGCACAGTGATAGGTGCTGCTGTAGGACTTGGGAGTCATGAGATAATGATTGGCTGAAAAAAATTTGTTTTTGGAATTAATGGCTATTAAATTAATTACATGGACCTAAATAAGGGACTGAACTACTGAAAAAAGAAAAAATAAGTACATACTAAGGGTCTGATTTTAAAATACATAGCACAGCATATTTGTACTTTTCCTAATGTTCCTTTACAGTATTTCCAGAAGCCTTTGAATATACATAAGGCAAATTCAAGATAGAAAAATAAACCCTGTTTAAAGTAGATGTTCCCAATTTTAACCACACTCTGTATCAAGTAAATTTCTTATATGACATAAGTATAAATACTAAAAATCTTTATAGAAAGGTAGTTCTTGTCCACTTGTAGTAGTCTTAACAAGTAATCTTACATTAAAATATCACAGATTCTAGTCCTCGACGATTTCATCATGGAGAAAGTTTATACAATACATAATTTATTTTGAAGACAGTTTATATGCTGAGAAATTTTAAAGTGAACAAATTTGAGTTCTCTTTTGTTTTCAAGAAGAGAGGATGCAAAGAATGGAAGGGGGTAGAATCTGTTCAAACCTTATAAATATCCTACAATCTAATAATTTAAAATGCTGACTGCTTTTCTTAAGAACCTAGTGAATTCCATACGAATAAATACTTTTCCTATTCACTACTGGTATGGACTTTTGTGATTAAAAATAAATAGTAAGTGCTTCTCATTTTTATGATAGCATTAAATTTCAAAATGAGGCTAGGTAATGTCAGCATAACATAAGGAGGAGCTAAATGTTTACCCAAAAAAAAAAAAAAAAAAAAGCTGACCTAAGAAAAATCACTTGGCGGGGGGGGGATAGAGAAAAAAATGACACAAGATGAAAGATCAGCAACGATCCTAATGGCAAAAACTCTTTAGGGGAGTAGAGGTTCCAAGTTGCTTTTAAGTAATAAAAGGTGAAATCAAGACTCAAGGAAAATGCTCATTCATTTGTACCTTGGATGCAACACTCTAAAGTAGAGAAGTAGTAAAATATTTTACTAAGTTAAAATATAGGTTTTATATTTTATACGATATTGAACACGCACATAAAAATACCAGTGTTTTTATCTTGTTTCTTTTCAGACACTTAATTAAGCAAATGTGTTCTTTGGTGTCTGGGGGAATTTATCAATATTTAGGGATAATGGAAGATAAGAACTCCAAGATCAACATGCCTAGAAATAGAAGTCTCAAAATCCTACGCCATACATATAAAGTAAGAATCAAAGGTGAACTTATGAGAAAAAATAAGAAAGTTAAAGTTACATTGCAGTAGGACTAATATATTTCCTTCCCCCAAACATACTCTGGCTCCCAAAATAAAAAGTACTATAGCCTAACAGGTTTTTAATCTGTGTTTTGAGATTTTTCAAGTGGAAAGATAGCACAGATAGAAATATCATTCTAAGTTTTAAAATCACCAAAGTCAGTGAGAAGAATGTACATTCATTAAATGTATTCATTCATTTTAAGTAAAGAAGTCTTGAAAAGGCTGAACAGTTCAACCAAAGCTGAAGAATTGTTCTTGATTTTTCATTTTTCTTTTTTAAATAAAGAATAGGTACAGTATACATACAGTTGACATTCTGATTCATTCAAAATAGTCACATCCCTTTGCTAGTTTTGGAAGTTCCAGAGACTAAAATTTAATATCATTCATAACATAGTATTTTCAATAAAAGGAATTATAGAGCACTGAAAAATCAGAAGATGGCCTAGAGAGGCTTTTAACCTCTAAATATACACACATTTATAACCTGTATTTATTTTCTAAAGAAACAAATTTTAAGTAATGCTAATTTAACCAATGGAGAAAAAACTTCTATCAAAATATACAATTTCCATTACAGACTAGAAGGCTAATATTAAAAAAATAGTTGTAAGCCAAAAAGTTTGCTTATATGGATGACAAGCATCATCCCTTTGAAGCATAAAGCATCAAATAAGGTCTTATAAAAGATCGATCTGTGACCTTCTTCATTTGTAAGTTCTTGATAAATTCATAAAGCTTGAGTCTCAGTCTTTAGGTCAAGGTATATCCATGCTTCTTAATCCAGATCTCCAGAAAAAAGGGAAACCAAGTAAAATTCAGAATCTCAAGTGGGATTTATGCTTTACCATGTACCTGAAAAATAATATTATAATAGGTTATAATGATTACAGGAATTGTAGGATTTTTAGAATATTACATGTAAAAATAAATTAACATTTTAACTTAAAATTCAAAAATGTACAGGATGTTTTGTTTTCTAAAAAACTGGAAACCTGATACTGTACTTTGGAAATACAGAATAAGAACTTCTGAAGCCAGAAAAAACATTCCTCTTATTAAATTCTTTAATCTCAGAGCTTCTGGCTAGAATAATAAATGTTTCTCTTTAATATATTATAATCACTGGGTTACCTCAGTCACCTCTGACTTTGGAAAACCCTTAATATTCAGCAAGAGACTTACACCAAGAAAGTGACAGATTTTAAAGAGCACCTCAACGAGAATAAATTTAGTGGTATTATGATCATATGCTGTTCTTAAATTTTCCAATTATAAAACTGATATTACTGTAAAAAGGCTTTAAGAATCCTATTTACAATAGTAATTAAAATAAATTCAAAAACTGAATTCCTTTCACAAGCTACCCATAACAAATCCAGTCAGTGACCTTTTGATGCAAACAAAACAAAACAAAACAAAAAACTATAGGGATCACTTAATCCAAGCCCCCTGGACAGACAAAAAACAAGGTTCAGAAAGGTCACAGTTCATTAGAGCCAGATCACAAAATCAGAATTAAAATCTAGGCCTAGGTCTTCCGACCCAGAGTTTACTGTTCTTTCTATCCAGGTATACACTCTTTCTCCATCTGTTTCTAAGATCAATGTAACAAAGACATTTGTTAATTATCTACTGGATCATCAAATCAGACAATGTTCGAAAAGGGGAATTGGGGGATATGTTCACAACTTTAATGAACTTAAAATCTAACTGAGGAGAAAGGAAAATTACTACAATAAAGCAGAAGTAAGTGCATTTTAGGATCAGAATTACCTATCCAATGTTTCCCAGAACCGTAAGAAAACTGGTCTATCCAAATGACGTTTGTGATAGCTGAGTTCTAATACTGTTACATCCCATTTCTGAACGTTTGGATCTAGACGAACTTCATCATATTTGAGATGGAAGGCTTTAACTATATGGGGGGAAATAATATTTTTTATTCAAACTGCAATCAAAATTATAAAAATATTTTACAAAAGAATAAAAATATCCAATATAGACATTAACCAAAAAACTAAACCAAACAAAAAACTTTAAAAAAATCAAACTTTCTTCAACAAATGAAGCTACATTATAACCAAAGTGATCTTTGAAATAGATGCTAATAAGCACCGTGGCATCCTCAAAAACATTCAACTCAATAAATACCTACTGAGGGTTTATACATGGCAGCCACTGGAACTGAAATGAAGAATAAGGTAAGATAAAACACGTATGTTCTGGGTGAAGGATAAAAAGAAGAAACACCTGTTCAAATACAGTATGATAAAGGTGTAGTACATCACAGAAACATAAGAGTACTACCTCACCCAGACCAAGGAATTCGGAAAAGGCTTACATAGGTAATGACCTCTAATCTAAGATCTAAAGCTTGAGTAAGAATTAGGCAAACACAGAACAAAAGTGATCCAATTAGCCAAGAACATGCTCAAAGAGAAAACGGTTGCATCTAGGAACTAAAGAACTTTAGTGGAACTGCATCATACAAAGTAATGTAAAAAATGGGTAAAAGGTTAAGACCACAGATTCAGAACAATGTTGGCCATGTAGGCCATATTAAGGGGTGTGGACTTTTATCTAAGAGATAGGGAGAATCACTGCAAAATGTTTAGCAGTGACTACTGATACAATTTAGTAATCTAGAGAAGAGATTTGCTCAACTTGGGAGAAGATATATGCCTGGCAAGAAAAAGATTCAAGAAATAATTAGGGAGTAAGAACTAATGGAACTTGGTAAGAAATGATGAAAAGGGAAAAAGAAAAATTTGGAAAGCCTCATGAGAAGGTTACCTAGAAGTAGATAATTAAATGATATAAAAAGTGAGTCTAGCAAAGATCCATAAGAGGATTTCAGCCAGACGGAACAGCTGGTAAAAAGGTTCTGAAATGAAAGCAAGCTTGGCACATTCTATAAACAAGTATAACTTCTTTTGTAGGCAATGTCCTATAAGTAGAATTTGGCTATGGTAAAAAATATCAATTTATTCCCATATGATAGTAAGCGACTAGAAAGTTTAGAGTAAGAAGGTGAAATTATCCGGTTTTCATTTTTAACAGTTAATTCTGGGTGTTGGGCAAATAAAAGACTCTAGGGCAAAATCTCCTAAGTACAGTATATTGCAAAAGGTTAACAAATGGACCATAAAGTATGACTTTCAATCTTTCCCTCTCCCTGATAACCCAGTTGAATCAACCTGGCTAGTTTATTTTGCAATCAATTTACCATCTGTGAAGTTTCTGTTCTCACATGTACACATGTAAGATGTTTAGCTTTTCTTTCAATTTACTTTTTTTCTAACATATAATTGTTACTATCATTATCATCTAGTATTAGAGATCTCTAAAGAGAAAAATTAATAACTTTGTTAATTTTTTTGATAACTACTTTATGGACTGCTTGTTCCATACTGCTGGCTGGCCTACTGGCTTTCAATGTTAAGAGTGAATCGAACGAAGTGTAATTCTTTTTTTTTTTTTAAGAGTTTATTTATTTATTTGACAGAGAGAGTAAGAGAGATCACAAGTAGGCAGAGTGGCAGGTAGAGGGAGAGGAAGAAGCAGACTCCCCTCTGAGCACAGAGGTCGATGCAGGGCTCAATCCCAGGAACCCAGGATCACGACCTGAGCTAAAGGCAGACGCTTAACTGACTGAGCCACCCAGGCACCCCCAAAGTATAATTCTTGATGGAAATCCAAAATGAATCATTTGTGCCCACAAAAAGAAACATATAAACATTACTTCAGAATTATTATGCTTTTATATAATTAAAGGTCCCCTCATCAGCCACATTATTCATTTTGAATTTAATTCAATTTAATAAATTTAAACTGAATCATTAGAAGGGCTATATATTATAGTTTCAGAAAACCCATTTTCAAAATATTTATCTGTATAAAAAATTTTAATTTTTAAAAATTTTTAAATTGAAGTCAACATTTCAGTACTTCCTATTTTCCTTACTACGTTTCACTTTTCTAATTTTCTCAATGTGATGTGCTTTAAATCATTCTTTTAAAAAATATGTATCTATTTATCTAACTATTTAGAGAAAGGGTGGAAGGGCAGAGGGAGAGAGAGAATCTCAAGCAGACTCCCTGCTGAGTGATGAGCCCGATGGAGGGCTCAACCTCATTGACTCTGAGATCATGACCTGAGCCGAAATCCAGAGTCAGATGCTCAATGAACAGACTGAGCCACCCATGTGCCCCTAAATCATTCTTTTTTTGAAGATTTTATTTATTTATTTGAGAGAGAGAGCGCGAGCGCACAAGCCGGGGAGGAGGCAGAGGGACAGGGACAAGTAGACTCCCTGCTGACCAAGGAGCTCAATGCAGGGCTCAATCTTGGGACTCTGGGAAAATGACCTGAGCCAAACGCAGACCCTTAACCGACTGAACCACCCAGGTACCCCTCATTCTGAAAAATATATTAGTTATATTTTTAAAAAATGATTTATCTAAAGCTATAAAAGCCTACAGTCCCCAACTCCTTAATTTCAATAGATTTAGTTTATATAGTACTTATTTTTCCACCAGAATAGACAACTTTTAAAATTTAAGGTGAAACATGAGGGGCACCTAGGTGGCTCAGTCAGTTAAGCGGCTGCCTTCGGTCCAGGTCATGATTCCAGGATCCTGGGATTGAGCCCCATGTCGGGCTCCCTGCTGAGCGGGGAGCCTGCTTCTCCCTCAACCTCTATCTGCCGCTACCCCTGCTTGTACTCTCTAATAAAAAATAAAAAATCTTTAAAAAAAAAAAGGTGAAACGTGAGAGTCCAAAAAGTTTAAATCACAAATGAGAAAGCATAAGGTTTCTCTAATCATACAAGGTATTTTATTAGCATGAGGGAATGGTGGCAAGCAAACTTACACCAAGACATTACTATAAAACATCTTTCTTATTCAAAAAAAGACTTTTAGTTTTTAATCCTCAGCAAAAAATAGAACAAACGAACTTCTTTTATAAGAAAGCCAGTCATCTATCTGGTAGCACAATGAATACTAAAGCAAAATACTTCACACGATTCAGAACTGTTCATTTTTTGCAAACTGCATGAATCTCGTCGACATATTTTACAGGAACAAAGAAGTAAAAAAAAAAAAAAGACAACGCTCTTGAATAATATTTAGTAGGTACAATGATGGCATGTCAGATGACAAAGGGGCAACATAATATAGATACTCATGAAAAAATTTTCTCATTGGTAACTACCATTTTTATACAAATCAACACTTAATATCTTCTCTAAAATTCTGTGTTCTATTATGCAATATGAAGAAAATATAAGTTTTTACCAGGGCCCATACAGATGCTCAGTTTTCTCCCATGCTTTATAGATGTTACTATTTTCTATGTGTGTTATGGGGGAATGGGTGAAAACCTAGAAAAGGCAGAGTAAAAAGCAAGGAGACATACTAACAGCTAAAAGGTAATATATTCCTAAATTTCTGGCTTAGGAAAATTACAAAAGAAACTGAGAAAAAGAAACAGTCTGAGAAGAGGGAGAGTACAAGACAATTCCATTTGGAACAGGTTGAGTCTGACGTACCAACAGGACCCTCAGAGGAGTTCTCTCGTAATTAGTGAGATATACAGAGCCAGAATATAAAGCTGGAGACTTAACAGAAAAAGGGGAGGGTTATAGATGGTAACTGAAAGCTACCAGATCTCTTTGAGAGAGTTATCTATAATAAAGGAGAAGAGAAACTAGACATAAACAGGTAGCTGAAAGCCAGACAAAAAGTAGCTAGAGAATCTGAGAAAGAGTAACAAGCCCTTGGAAAAGAACATTTTAAAAAGGAAGAAATGAATGAAGAGAATCAAATTTTGATAAGGAGGTCAAAAGTATCTAATATTTGAGTCACTGGTAAGTTTGGTGAGAATAGTTTAGTGAAGAGCAAGAGAGCCAAACAGCGAATTGAAAACTGAATAGAAAATGAGTTAGTAGAGACAATTCAAAAGAGGAGCTAGAGTTGAGGTCAAGAGAAAGAGTTTTAAGATGGAAGCAGCAAGAAGAGTACTTTCATTTTAAATGCTGATAGAAGCAAGAGCTTAAAGTAGGAAGACTGAAAAGAAATAATTTATGGAAGAAAATCATAACTGGTAACTGTATAAAAAAGTCCTTCCTATCTAAATTTCAGAAGACTAACAATCTGAACAAAAAAATTACAACATCATTACATTCTGAATGAAATTCAGGCAGCATTTACATCTTGAAGACATTATAATAATTTTTTTTTTGCAACACTATTCAAAAAGGCAAGCAAGTAGGTAAAACATTCATGTTCACGGACATTTTACTTTCATTAAAATTCCCACTCTCTGTATCTTTAACTTTCTAGTTATCAACCCTGTGCATTATTCAAGTTTCAGAAATAACATAATAATCTATCACAATATTAGTAATATTAGAATCATTGTCTAAAATGAATGAAAGTAGAGATTAAAGGATTGAAACTTCCAAGCTTGGGCAGTTTCCATCTTGGAAGAATGGTGGTAAACCACTAACAAAGCTGAGGTTGCTTTAAAAAAAAAAAAAAAAAAAAGAGGCTGGATTTTACAGTAGCACAATCTACATTCATAATAACTGAAGTTGTCATTTCTAATAAACATACTTGTTTCATAAGAATGTTTTTTAAAAAACAATTTTACTATGGTTACTAACTTAATTGGGTACTCGAATTAAATAATAATTGGAATATCTCTACTGCAAAAACCAGAGTAAATTAATCTACGTTTAGTGTATCTAACTGTATCAATATACCAAAAGATCTAAGCCACATGAAATGCTCATTTAACAGATATCTACTGAATGCTTCCCCTATGCCAGGCACTCTTCTGTGATGACAATTCAAGGGTGAACAAGGCAGAAAAGGCTCCTCCCACCAAGGAACTTGGCTTTATAGCCAGGGAAGACTTACAGTAAAGGTGTAAATAAGAGAATATCAAACAACAGTAAGTACTATCATGAACATAAAAGAGCTTAAAGAGTAACTGGAAAGAAGTAATGGTTATTTCCAGGCTGGCCAGAGAAGGATTCTCTGAAGAAAATACTTGAACTTAGACTTGAATGAAAAGAAAAAGCCAAACATGCTACAATCATTCTAGACAATGGAAATAGCTGGTAAAAGTCACATGGTACTTTAAGTCCTAACTGCACATTACTGTTCAGCGGAAGTCAACCCATTTAAAAACTGGCCATCAATTTTAATAAAAATCTGTGGATGTGCAATAATATTAATGCTTTTTAAGTGACCTAATGTAGGGAATGGGAGATAATTCACTTTTAGATATAAGTACACAAAAAATATTAATGTTCAAAAAAAGACTTTAAAAATATTTCACAGGTGCTTAAAAATTAGCATATGTTAATGGAATCCTTTGATATACACATCATATATGAAGAGCCATAGATGGCTTTCTCTTAAATAAAGCAAGACCATTTCTATATTGGATAAGCAGTAAAAAATAAAGAGAATCTTACTTTTAGCAAATATGTCAACTGGTGATCCATCAGGCAAAAGCCATGGCCAACCTTTGAACTGCCATGCAGGACCTTGCACAAAAACTGCTACAACCCGATCCCTATAAATAGAAAAGGGGCAGGGTTAGAGCTCCAGGGTTGAGAAAATACCTTAAATATGAACTTTGATTACTATAAATCCTTAAGGAAAGGACTCAATTGCTCATGTGATATAATCTACTGTCAACAAATCTGTGAGGCAAATTACATAACTGTTATAATGTTATCATTAGAGCATACTAATGATTGCTACACTTCCCATGCATCTGTTTTTGCACCTAAGCCTTTTAAACATAATTACACACACAATCCTTATACACAATCTTTTTAACCTTTAATCTGCCCTTCTCCTAGAATAAGGGTCCACTTTTCCAATGCGATAGGGAACAAGACTTGATCTATTAATTGAAAAAGTTGGTTTTAAAAGAAAATCATCTAAAATTCAAATACATCTTAAATGCTTTACTCTTTTATTAAAAACATTATAAATTATAGTAACTCACCAATCATTTTATAAAGCCCCAAGGCCTTATTTTTGAGTTCTGATTATTTGGGAAGTAATCTTGAGTAGAAAAACCATCAAACTTTAATTTTTCCAATTGTTTACATTTCACTCACCCAAAATTCTATTAACATTTTCTTTTCTTTTCTAAGTAGGCCCCATGCCCAACATGGAGCCCAACCTGGGACTTGAACTCACAACTCTGAGATCAAGACCCAAGCCGAGATAAAGAGTCAGACACTTAACTGACTGAGCCACCCAGGCACCCCATTAGTGTTTTTTAAAGCAACTTGTCAGGGCACCTGTGTGGCTCAGTCATTGAGCATCTGCCTTCAGCTCGGGTCATGGTCCTAGGGTCCTGGAATTGAGCCCCACATTGGGCTCCCTGCTTGGCGGGAGGCCTGCCTCTCCCTCTCCCACTCCCCCTGCTTGTGTTCCCTCTCTCTCTGTGTCTCTCTCTGCCAAATAAATAAAATCTTAAAAAAAAAAAAAATAAAAAATAAAGCAACTTGTCTTTCCAACCATTCAACTTTGTTTTCCTAAAAAGAACAAATCTTTCTCTATGCCCTCATATTTTTCATTAGTTCACAAAGTATTTAATTAAATTGAGAAATTATAAGTACAAAGGCCATAAACAGTTTAAGTCTAGAACTAAAGTGGGAACAAAACCATAATATAAACAATAATAGTTAACATTAATTAAGATGTACTATGAGCATTCACTCTGTGCCAGTGCTGTTCTAAGCACCTTACACTGTACATATGTTAACACACTGAATCTTCCAAACAATTCAACGAGGTGAGTACTATTATTACCCCCATTTTACAGATGAGGAAATAGAAGTGTATGGTTAGTCCATTAGTCAGAACAGAAACGGAGGGAAGAAGAGGAGTGAGAAGGAGAAAGGGAGGCAATGATTACTCCTGTGCACTGGTTATGCTACTGTTCCTATGGGAGGACTGGTAAATCCTGAGAACAGCCATCTCAGTACTATAATGGAAATAGTTTTAACCTTGCAATTCCCTGAAATGGTCTTAGGAATGCCCAGAGGTTCGCAGATCATACTCTGATAACCACTGCATTAGATGAAGACTATATAGCCAACAGAGAATTAAACCAGGGTTACCTTCTATTCAAGTAAAAGACCTACAGCAACAATTCAAGTTACTGTGAAAAACCACAGCTTAAAATGCTTAATCTACTAAAAAATCTCTAAGGCTAACATTAAATCTTAAATAAAAAATTTCCTCCTTGCATAGGATATATGTCCCATAGTGCCAAAACTATGTTTGGTAACGGAGCACACTATTAAATGGTCTCTTCATTTGATGACATAGCTTGTGCCATACAATAGCTGAAAGCCCAAGGTACCTGCCAAACTAAAGGAAATCTGGAGAGACATCACCTAGATCCTACTGGGTTTCACAGGGTTAAGAGGTAAGCAGGATAATATAAATACTACTCTCTGTGAATTCTTAAAAGGACAATTAACAGAGAAAGAAAAAAAGGTAAGGAAAATATTATTCCTAGGTTATGACATCAACGACTAGGGACCTAGCTAATATATACAAGCAATGTTTTGTAGCACGGTGACAGCACCTGTATATACTGTCTTTTTTCTGCAACTAACTACAAACATATAAAACAAATGGTGTAGTTTTCCTTCTTCCTACAATTTTTAAACTTGCTATCTGAAATTCTCATCTTACTTCATATAATAAATTTTTAACATACTTGTATTCTCAATGCCCTGACTTCCTAATGTGGGAAGACGAATGAGTACTTCAAAGGTAAACCAGGTAATTCATCAATGTGTTGTATTCTCTATGTCACAGAGATGCACTCTCAGACTCTGTATTTTTATTCCAGTTTAGATTAATAAAATAATTTAAGATAATTCATGAATCTGAGTTTATAGGCACTTTGTTATAAATAGCTTAATATTTTATTAAAGGACACTTTAATGTAATTAGAGAGTTAAACCAGAGGAGTAATGTTATTCTTTTTTTTTTTTAAGATTTTATTCATTTATTTATTTGAGAGAACGAGAATGAGAGAGAGAGAGAACATGTGAGAGGGGGGAGGGTCAGAGGGAGAAGCAGACTTCCTGCCGAGCAGGGAGCCCGATGCGGGACTCGATCCCGGGACTCCAGGATCATGACCCGAGCCGAAGGCAGTTGCTTAACCAACTGAGCCACCCAGGTGCCCCATGTTATTCTTTTTATTAAATTATTCCCTACAATAAAAGTAACAATTATCATTTCTTACCCAAAAATGTGAATTCTCCAAATCAAAAATCTAAAACTATAGCTCTCAAAACAGTCTATTTGGAAATTTTGCTCTAAAGGCTGATCCAGAACAAATAAATAGTGGAAAGAGTTTTTACTAAGTTTTCCAGAACTGTTTCTTTTTTTTTTTTTTTAAAGATAATTTGAGAGATAGTGAGCGCACACGAGCGGCGGGGGAGGGGCAAAGGGGCAAGCAGACTCCTCACTGAATGGGGAGCCTAACAACGACCCAAACCCAGGACCCTGAGATCATAACCTAAGCCGAAGTCAGATGCTTAACCAAGTGAGCCACCCAGGCGCCCCTGAAGTTAGTGTTTCTTACAAGTAAAATAAAGTTTAGCTAGCCAAAATATAAATTTATTCAGGTATTACTAAAATGTGAACATTATTAATGACCAACTTAGACATTAATATGGTTTTCAGGCATAGTTTCTATTTAGAACTCATGACAAAATATGATAGTTTTTAATTATAAAAAAAAATTTAATGACTACATAAAAGTATAGATCATCTTACCAGTCTTGAGGCATAAGTTTGAGGGGCTGGTCTACTACTCTATAAGGAACTGTGACACTAATTGCAGTGCCTCCTGGTTGCATCTGATCTTTTCTTCTCTGTATTAAAGTTTCATTTTCTCGTTGGCAGCCTTGTTTCTTCTTTTCATCTGATGGGACAAATCTTTGAAAAAATAGAGATGAGAAAAGGTCAAATGTTTCAATGTGATACAAATGGGAAAATAAATTATATTGAAAGTTTTAAACCAAACTTTTTTTTTTTTTTTAATGAACCTGCTCTGCATGTACAGATCACAACGTGTGGAGTATAACCTTTCCTTTCCATGATAGCACTCAGCTCACATAGGCCATAAGTTGGTGTGTATGTCTGTATCTGTGTCTCTCTCACACACACACAATTTTTATTAATCCATCTAGCACTTAACATTTTCCAAAGTTACATAAAAGACCGTACTAATCCTTGATTTTTCAAATGCTAGTAGAAGGAAATTTTATTATAAATCAAAAGGTCACTTGACATGAGGATGATGTGGCTTTTCCCCAAATAGGTGACTTAGCCTAAGAGCATCACAGAACACCCCTTTTCATGGATTATGACTTAGCAAAATTAGAAAAATGCTATCCAATTTCAGGGTTGCTTTGCAAATTTTAAAGGAGGAATTAAATTAGTATATGCCAACTGTCTTAGTATAAATACTGCTAGTTATTTAGTAAATTACCAACTCTACCATGGGATTCAATTCTCCACTGTACTAACAACAGATATTCTCACAAAAATAATTCAGCAATCTGCAGAGCTGTTGCCAGCTCTAGATTGTTGGTATTCACAAAGCATTTCAAAACAGTCTTCTTTTAAAAATATGCATACTCCTAATACACACTCTATTAGCATATTTTATTAGCTATGGTCTGGCACCACCAATTAAATGGGGGCAACGCAGTCATTACATTGAGACTCATTCCACTTCTAAAGGTTAAGATAGATAAATGGAGTGGAGGGGATACATGAGAGCTTGCACTTGGTAGAGTCCTTCGAAAAATTTCAATATCACATGCTGAATTCATCATTAGTAATACCAGTCTTGTACTCATGAAAGTTTTTAGTAGACGGTGATTGTGATAAACTGTACTTCATTTCTGAGCTGTTTTCATATCCATGTCAAATCTGATGGAAAAGTTAAGATTTCCATATCATTTAAAAACCTCCTCCAGATAATCATTTTACTACCCATTGATTTTGGTTATTTATTAATCAAACCCACTTAGAAAATGCCAAATGTAATACTAACACTGAATAATTAAACACTTTAAAATTAACAGACATGCATTGTTGGAAACAGTTTTCATATAAAACAACAAAAATGTATCAAGTCAACAGTGATACACTGTACTAAGTTATACAATATACATCGTTGTAAAAAAAAAAGTCACTGCCCCCTTGAAGCTTACATTCCAGATACAAAGTGGTCTCACTGCCAGGAGAAAGATGCTTTATCTCAGTCTATATCTAGATAGGATTAAAATGTTTACATTCTTAAATATAATACTGCATCTCACTCTTTTCTAGCTTTTGAAATTTTGAATGTAAAAGTATAAAATTACTTATGCAAAATTACTTACAATCTTTAATGAATTATATACATACAAATGAGTGATCTATAATACCCAACTTCTTAGTCTATTAAACACCTAATTCACTTCTAATGCATTAAGAAATGAGTTACACAGCATTTGCATGTTCACATATTTGTTGATGTTTTACTAAGTTCAGAGTCATTAACACGGTTCTTTAACTATCATCCTGTAATTTTTACATGCTCTACTATTTTAATTTCTGAATATATCTAGGTCTTTAGAATAGTAGCTTCACTGAAGCTGTTTTTCAAAATGTTTTTCAGCCTTGATCTCATGTGGTAATAATGTAAGGATCGATCTTCTATCCTACTCTCCTAAAGTTAGAATAACAATGTAAATTTCTCTATCCATGGAAGGCACTAGCAAACTAATTAAACTTAAGTTTTTTTTTTTTTTTTACTATATTTCCCTGGGATCCTGGAGTAAGAAATAAAGCCTAAATTCTGTTCAAGGGAGGGAATCTAACATAAATTTCTTCTTTCACAAAGGTTGGACTCTCAGGGATTAAATTCAATATAATGGTAAGCTAGAAATAAACCCACTGCCCACTCTTTTTCCTGTACCTCACCCCTAGCCCTTATTAACACCCTGGCAATCGCAAGGAAAATCAAATCTCAGAATTGTAAATTGGCCCTCACTTGAATCTGAGGCAAGATTAAGCACCCTGACCGCAACAATAAACACATTATCCAAGCCAGGCCAATGAGACTTAAACCTGGATTTTTTGCTGGAATTATTGGGAAACAGGAACTATCTTTCTACTGTCATCAGTAACCTGGAGTTTTTGATAATCCTCTTGGACCTGAAAAGTGAGAACCTGAGAGATGGAGAGACGAGCTCCTGATTATATCATTTTAGCACTAAGTCTAGCTGTCAGAAGCCAGGACTGTTCAGTCACGTTGAGTCAATAAAGTATTTTTTGATAAATTACTTTGAGTTGGTATTTATCATTTACAACTAAAGATGTTCTAACAAATATAACCAGAATTGCACAACTGATGTGATGGATGAATATATGTGATTTGGAGAAATATTATGATGCCCACTGACTTATCCAATATTTGCAATTATTTATTCCACTCTACATTCCATGAGTAAAGGAGTGTGGGTGATGATATGACCAAAGTCATTACTATTTAAACAAGTACAGTTCTACTGAAATAATTTTATTAGTATTGTCAAAGAATAAAATCCAAATAAATGATATAGCTAAATAAATTACAGACTTTACGTTATTTTAAAAACAGAGCAAGTTTATGAATATTTCCCAGGTTAAAAATATAGTTTTCCTGACATTGGAATTTGAAAAGTATAGAAAAGAAAAAGCAACAATGTCTGTGTGTTTAAAAACCTCAAACTGAGAATTTAATTTAAAGTGATGTAATACTGGCAATGCTCCCAGGTACTTAGCAAACACAAATGTAAACCTTTTCTGGATTACCCCTCCCCTCCACCTTCATTTTAAATTCCAAGGAAAATGAACAGTAAATGAAGACAATGGAAAGCATTAAATGTACTAGATAAACTAAATACACAAGGAAATGAGAGCCATCATGAAAGAAACAACTGTCAAAAGAAAAAGGTAACTAAGGACTTCTAATAATGCAATCATCAAAGATCAAAGCTTATAAAACAAGATTGCAAATATGGACAGGAGAAAAAAATACTTTTAAAAAGACCAAAGATTTGAAAAAGAACTAAAGCGAACCACTAAAATTGAAAAAGTCCCAGAAAAAGAAGAGAAAAGGGGCGGGGAGATACACAGGTAAAGGGCCAGGACTCGGAATTGACAAAAAACACAAATCCATACACTTAATTCTAATGAATCCTAAAGTGGGATATATAAGAAATCTACATCTAGGTTGAACAGAAACAAATTTAAAATGGTCTGCCTGGGTGGCTCAGTTGGTTAAGCGACTGCCTTCGGCTCAGGGCATGATCCTGGAGTCCCGGGATCGAGCCCCACATCGGGCTCCCTGCTCGGCAGGGAGTCTGCGTCTCCCTCTGACCCTCTCCCCTCCCATGTGCTCTATCTCTCATTCTCTCTCTCTCAAATAAATAAAATCTTTAAAAAATAAAATAAAATAAAATAAAATAACCAGGTAAAGCAGATTTCCTTCATAGGACTGATTATCACACTAACGGGTGACCTATGAACCAACACAGGAAGCTAGAATGTAGTGCAATAGTATCTTAAAAGTAACGAGGAAAAAAAAAAGAAAAAGAAAAAAGAAACTGTATTTGTTTTCCAAAGTGGTTGAATCCTTTTGCACTACCTGTGGCTGTTGGGAACAAACTATTCATGGTCCAGAGTAAACTCCAGTAATTGTTCAGCCTGCTTCTTCCCCAGGCCTCAGGTAGTTTTCTCACATGAATGTGCTCAATAGTATTTGACTAAATGTGAGGGGAACCCTCTAGATATATTTGAAGCACTCTCTACATGCAATCTCTCTTCTGGAACTCTGTCCTCTATCATCATGGCCAGAATCCTGAGTGCCATCCAATCATTTTATTTAAATAAACTTATAGTCCTACTAAAACTTCTCTCAAGATAACATTTATAATTATATGTAAAATGTACTTATTAATACTTTCATAATATAACCTTAATTTTGTTATTTAGGGATGTTAAAGATATGGTAGGTTTTGTTCTGTTTCATTTTTTATTGAAGGGCTGAAAAATTGAAAAATCCTTAATTTTACATGAAACCAAATAAAATCTATGCCAAATGAGCTATGGGGTACAGCCAGTACTATAATTGTGTGGAGGAGGTTTCAATTATGCATTAATTACATAGCGAAGCCTCCAGCTGACTCACACTGTAGGGGAGATGTCAGTTGCAATGAGGTGTTAAACAATGAAGGGAGTGTTTTATACTTAAATTAGGCTCAGTCTATCCTAAGAATGTGGTCTATTTAATTATTTGGTTTCTCTGTTGTGAGCTTAAGGAGAAAAACACTAAAATTTACTTTGTGATTTCTTTGCATTGTTTACTATCTTCCATTATAAATAATATTTAAGATTTAGATTTGTAATATATTCAGATGAGCACCATAAAGGTTCTGGAGAATGAAAAACTAAAGGCAGAATTTGTTTAACATTCCAAAAACTTACTGTGAATTTTCTGTAACCATTAAGGTATAGTTATAAAAAATAGAAATACCTGTCAATTACTAAAAATTGTTAGAGTTGGAAATACCAAATTTACAAATCATAAAAATCAAAGAACTACAAAGGGCTTTAAACACCTGATCCAAATACAGTTAGTGCAAAAAATGCAATACCAACTATAATGACACTTCACAGGAACTAAAATCAAATCCCAGATACAGATACAACTATCATATATCAAAGAAGGAATTTGAAATTAGGCATAAATACACTAAATGAATTCAAAGCTTGCACAAACACAGGCAAAACCAAAATTTGAATTCCAAGGACATAAGTCTGCCATTCTCCAAATTACCAATGTGTTCCTCCCTCCTTTTCTGTTTCCTAGACATTTATTTAATATCCACTACTGGGCAAACACTGTTTTCAACAATGGAGGTACAAATAACAATAAAGTAACAAGCCCTTTTCTCTAACGAATTCACAATTTAGTTGGAACTGTGAATTCCAACTGGGTGCCAGACTGTAAAACACAGAAGCCATCACAAAACAAAAACAAAAATATAGATGCATATACTTCAGAGAATATAAACAATGAAAAAACTATTCTTGTATACTCATTAGAAGTTGGAAAGCAGACACGCGAATGCTCAAACAAAACCTAACAAAATTTTTAAAGCAGTTAATGAAATCCATTTTTTTGCATGGGTCTGACACAGTTTCAGTTACATTATCAAATTTCAAGGAGGGCCAAAATGATTGTATTTCTTATTCACTCAATTGTAGATGACTTGAGGAATTACTTGAGTAATTCATAACACTGTAAGAACACTAAACGATAAAAGCCTAATGAAATATAAAACATAAGAAGCCCTTCTTTCCCAACTGGTAATGGAAAAAAGCTCAGTGAAAATTTCATTCAAAAGTACTAAAGAAAAATACTCTATAGATATATTTGTGCCACATTACATAGATTTTTTAATAAAGCTATTTAAGTCATAAGGTACTTCAATTCTGCATTTGGTAAAAACAAATCAGCAAGTTTTATAACTTATTTTGTATCTCATTTTTAATTAGTCATAAGTTATTGTAGAAGCAGTAGGATTTTCTTTTTTGGAGGTCAGGTTGCTTTTGTTTTCTTTCTTCAAGAATTGTCATTGTTATTTACTGAGAAAGAAGGCAAAGCATTCACATTCTTTTTTTGGATACTTATTATGTTACTGACTGAAAATATTTTCCCAGTTACCACTAAAAATATTTAACAAGAATTTTCAATGTCAAACCAAATTACAAAATATTGTTACTGTAATTAACAGTGAATAAAAGACCCTGAATATTGCAGAAGAGTATTTTGTTCCAGAATAAAACCCAATTTCTTTTTGTAAAATTTATTTATTTTAGAGAAAGGGAGAGACAGAGAGAGTGCAAGCATGCATGTGAGGTGGGGTGGGTCCTCAAGCAGACTCCACCAAGCACAGAGCCCGATGCCAGGCTCCATCTTACAACCTGAGCCAAAATCAAGAGTCAGGCACTTAACTGAATAAGCCACCAGGCGCCCCTAAAGCCCAATTTCTTAATCTGAATGTTTGTTAAGAATCTCCATCCACTCCTCCTGCTTGTGTTCCCTCTCTCACTGTGTCTCTCTCTGTCAAATAAATAAGTAAAATCTTTAAAAAAAAAAAAAAAAAAAAAAAGAATCTCCATTATCAAAGGTTAAAATAACTAAGCTGGTCTTTGGGAGACCTGGTTATAGTTTCTGCTCTGCAACTAACAACCAGAGTAGTCTTTTTATCTCTTGCCATTTTCATTGAGGGTAAGAATGTATTCTGACAATCCTTTTTAGGTCTCAAAAATCTAGAAAATAATAAATTTCAAGTATTTCCTTAGATTATTAAAAAAACCCATCACTACAGTTATGTACATTCTCACTAACACCACATTATTTGTGAGAGGAGCTAGGTGAAGTTTTTAATGGCTGATATATTATTGCTGAGGTCTAATTTGATTTTGAACTTATCTTCAAGATGTGATTTGTTTGTTAGTGTCAAAGAAAATTATACTTTTCACTATACTCTCAATAATAAGGCATTGAAATTGGGTTTTATACTAAATGCTGCAACATATTTTATTTCTCATCAGTTGCAACAAATGACTCCTAACACAATCATATGAGCTCCAAGAAGATTGAGCTTGCAGTATATTTATCTACACATAGCACTTTGATTTTTAGTTTTTGCTCTATAGTGTTGAATGAATAAACTCAGTATAGACAGATTAAATACACCTTATAAAATTCCAGTTCCAGTAATTATAAAAACCCTTCCAAGAAATGTCAGATAAAATATAACAAACATCAGAAATGTATAGCTGAGCTGGAAAGAAAACAGTCATGGGCCAGAAATCACTGGTGCTTCAGTGGATGAAAAAGGAAGAGAGGAACACGCTCTTGAGACTTCGTTTTTACCACCCACACAAAGGAAGGACACAAAGAAACTAGAACTGGAACCTTACAAGAGATAATCAACAAAAGGATGAACTGGGGGGGGGGATTCCAATTAAGTTCTGAGGAAGTGTATCCATCTTGATCTGGCTCTAGAGTAGGGGAGGAAAAGGAGTCATGGATAATTTGTCAACCAAGGGCCTACCCCAATGTCACTCTGGTCTGTTCTGAATTTGAATTTATGCTATGCTGGTGGACCAGAAATCCTTGAATTGAGAATTTAACATAAAAATCAACTTTAAGGGGTGCTTGGGTGGTTCAGTTGGTTAAGTATCTGCCTTCAGCTCAGGTCATGATCCTGGGGATCCTGGGATCCAGCCCTGTGCTCTGGCATCCCTGCTCGATGGGGAGCCAACTTTGCCCTTCCCTCTGCCTCTCCTCCCACCCCCGCTCATGCTCTCTCTCTCTCAAATAAATAAGTAAAATCTTTAAAAATAATAATGAAAATAAAAATAAAAATCAACTTTAGACTTGTCATATCCCTGTAGCATCCAACAAAAGCAAATTTATAAAATCATTCTGTAAGTAAGGGATAGTCTTCAACCCAGAATTTCTTCAAATAATTAAAGCTTAGGGAGCAAAAGTCCAAATCCATAACAAATGCCAAGATTTAATCACTAATTACGTAAAGTAACTGGACAATTTGACAACCCCTACTCAATAAGAAGTACCATAACAGAGTACCAAGTACTAGGAAAAGGTTCTAACAGAATAGCTGTAAGCCCCTTCTCTCCAACTAACTTCTGTGGTGATCATTCTGCAATATATACAAATATTAAATCCTTACACTGTACACCTGGAACTAATAATAATGTTATGTCAATTATACCTCAATAAAAAAAGTTTTCTGGAAGCTAAGTATCTGGAAATTTTAACACAGGATAAAGGTTTCATTTTAACTTCAACTAAATTTTACTAACGTCTAGGTTAAAAAACTATATTCCCAACCTCCACCACCCCCTCCACCCACGGTAAATAATATATACAGAAGTTTGTATCACTTTTCCCATTCCTCAATTAGAACTTGGAGAAGGGGAGAGGGAGAGAACTGGAATTTGTTTTAGAACTTCCCTCAAACTCTTCAGGAAAAAGTCAAAACAAAACAACTCATATTAAAAATAAACACAGTAGTATCCTTTTCATTAGAACTTTTGCCAAAAATTTCTGTAATTTTCCCTAAAGAATCCAAAGAGAAAAGAATATACAGCAGACCCCTGAACAACACTGGTTTAAACTGCATGAGTCCACTTATACATGGATTTTTGGTTTGGTTTTGTTTTTCTTCTAATAAATGCAACACAGTACTCGGGTGCCTGTTGGCTCAGTCGGTTAGCATATGCCTTCAGCTCAGGTCATGATCCCAGGGTCCTGGGACTGAGCCCCGAATCAGGCTCCCTGATCAGCAGGGGGTCTGCTTCTCCTTCTCTCTCTGCCCTCACCCCCACCTGACTCATGCTCGCTCATTCTCTCAAATAAATAAAATCTCTTTATAAAAATACAATAATGTAAGTGTATTTTCTCTTCCTTGTGATTTTTAACATTTTTTTCTCTAGCTTACTTTATTGTACAGAACAGTATACAATACATATGAGATACAAAATACATGTTAATTGACTGTTATGTTATATGTAACATATTATCAGTAAGGCATCCATCAACATTAGGCTATTAGGAGTTACCTTTCTGCAGGAGTCAAAAGCTGAATGTAAATTTTTGATTGTGCTGGGGATCAGCACCTTAAACCCCTACATTGTTCAAGTACTCTGTATTTTGCTTTGAAAATTATACTTCAGACTATCTATAAAGCCTACAGCACAGAAACTGAAAGTGTTTTCTCCAAATAAGGAATACCAAATTCTTAACTACTAATTCTCAAAGATATCGCCATATCCAGTGAAAACAAGAGTTTAACAAATTACTTACTTCAGGTCCTGCAGAAGGTCCTTTGCATTAAGCATGGTTATTAAAGAGGTGGTAGCTGCAGGAATTATGATAATGGGTGTTCGAGAGCCTGTAAAGACAAAATTATAAAGGTAGCAAATATGTTGTTATTATTATCAAGAAATATAGTTACTTTTGCAATTGATAAATTTGTAATCCTAACTCCCTTGAGCTAAAAAAATATTTTAAGTCAACAGTGATATTCGAAATATTTAGTAATCAGTATGACCTGAGTACTGATTAATCAGAATGGATACCATGCACAAACATGTGATATAACTGCACAAGCATGATATTAGCCTTCGTTTTTTAATCTGGCTTATTCACGTTTACTTTTTATTTTTAAGTTTTTTTTTTAAGTTTTATCTTTATTTAAGTAATCTCTACACCCAATCTGGGACTCGAATTCATGATGCTGAGATCAAGAGTCACATGCTCTTCCGACTGAGCCAGCCAGGTGCCCCTACTTTTACTTTTTAAAATAAGTTTAAAATCATATGTACAACCTCACCTTTCTTCTGATTTGGGGGAGGTCTTGCTTGAGAAACTGTTAAGAGAGGGGGAAAAAAAAAAACTGAGTGTTACAAAATCACATTCTTATTTTCAAATTTACAAAGGCCTAAAAATTTAAATTACATATGACTAGTTAAAAAATTTTAAAATATACTGCAATCTTCTCAAATGATATCAATCTTCTCAAACAATTTATTTCTCTGTTTCACAAAAACACTAAAATGCCTTATCATTATTCAACAATCTATTGTAACAAAGCGGATATAACTACACGGCTAGACTCTTGAGTATCTACATTAATGGATACTAAAGTCTAGCAAAAGAAGCAAATAGTTTCTTAATTAACTGACAGCCAATGTTGTAAATGCAAAAACATATAACACTGGGGGGAAAGGCTGGAAGGAGGAAATGTGCTTAACTATTTGGGAGGGAAAAGAAAGGCATTATTGGGAACTAAGACCTAAAATATTTCTTACCATTTTTCTCTCTTTTCATGTGATCTTTGTTCATTAGAAGACAACATTATAGGCAATGAGTCATGTGAAGGTCTGTATTATTTTGAATTGTCCATATTATTTTTTTTAAGATTTTATTTATTTATTTGAGAGAGGAGGGAGGGAGACAGCGAGAGCAGGAGGCAGAGGGAGAGAGAATCTGAAGCAGAGTCAGTGCTGAGAGTCCAACCCTCAACTGACTAAGCCACCCAGGTGCCCCCAGTTGCCCATATTATTAGTAATTGGGAATGTAGGGGAGGTGGGTGGAGGGATGGGGTAACTGGGTGATGGGCATTGAGGGCAAGTGATGTGATGAACGCTGGCTGTTATATGTAACTGATGAATTACTGAACTTTACATCTGAAACTAATGATGTACTATATGTTGGCTAATTGAATTTTAATTAAAAAAATTGTGAATGTATGTTATAAAAACACAAATACTCATCTTCATTATTTGTCTATATAATAGACTTTACAATGCACAGAAATATTTGCTGGCAAAATAACAGCAACACCAGCCTGGTTCGAGATTAATAAATTTTAGAATTTAAAAATACTGTACATTCAATTTTCAGAATTTACATGTACAATATTTATTGACTGCTTTCTATGTGTCATGTACTGTATTAAAATTTCCATTTTCTTAAATCACAAAAATAAAAATTCTAGGAGATTTAAAATTCTAACTCAACAGCAGCTGTTAAAAAAAAGATTACCATTTTTAAAAGGATATATTCATTTTTGGAACGTGTTCTTTTTTAAAGCAGTAAAATGCTACATTTTAACTTAATACTTTGTATTCCTTTGTATAGCTACCTATTGTGATAAAATTTTATGGAGTCCAGCAGTACAATTTTTCCAGTCACAAGGCAGAGAAAAATATATATAAATACAAGTGCACACACATACATATTTATTATAGTGTTTTCATCTCTCTCTTCTTGCTAAGGAAAAAAACACTAAAGCTTTCTTAAATCATTTTTAGAAATAGGACTCATGGAAACACCTGATGAGCTAGATAGCATCATTTGGAATATAATACATTCTCAGTAAGTATTTGGTATTTGTTGGAGGGATAAAGTAATGACAGGATGGATAGATTTGGATAAACATGAGACAGGACTTGCTAAGAAAATAAGTAAGGGGAACAACAAAAAAGAAATCTTTGCCTGAAACACCACTGGTTTGGTTAGAGCAGCCCACAGTGGACTCAGGAATTTAGGAAAAGATTCACTAAATTCAAGGGTGAGAAGACCCCATGTAAAGAAAAAGACAAAATATAAAAGCACACATATTAAAATTTAGAGACTTAATAAAAACTAACTACAAAAGAATATAAATAGGTTCCCTGGTTAAGTAAGGCCCAAGGTACAGACGCGATGAGATGCGCACTACACTAAGCTTCATTCAGTGAGGGAGGGGAGAGGAGGGCAGAGTGACACCAGTCCATAGGGCAAATGATTAAGAGCAAGAATCTGTACTCAGATGATCTCAATTCCTATCTCCATTTTGCCACTTCCTAGGCAAATTACCCTGGCAAATTGAATTGATAGACCATTCAGTCTCAGTTGTCCTCAGCTATAAAACAGTAATAATAGTTTCTACATCTTGAAACTGTTATGAGAATCTTAAAAACAACAATGCTGGTTAAGTCCTTAATCAGGTCTTGGCCCATATTTAATATTCAGCGAACCCTGCGGCTCTAGGTGATCCTAAATGCTACTACTTCTAGGAACACTAACGCTACCACTACCTTCAGCAAATTCCATGACTGAAAATTTACCAAGCTGATAATAATTATTATTGATTGCTATGTTTGATTTCTAATATAATTACAGTCTTCACTTAAATATTCAGAGCCTTATGCAGAAGCCCCTCTTATTATTACAAATAAAACAGAAATAGTCCCTGCCCTCAAAACCCTTCAGTAAAGTAGGGGAGTCAGACCATAAATAAGCAAGCATACAAACACATATAAACAAATTTGAACATGTAATATTAAGGAACAAAAGGCGTGTACACTGACAGAAAAGTGTCCTTTGGATAGAATGCTTAGAGAAAGCCTCTCAAAGAAAGTGGCATTTAAGCTGAGATTTCAAGGATGAAAAGGAGCCAATTTGCAAGGAATAAGTGGAGGAATAGCCCAGGTTAGAAGTAGGAATGTGAGCAAATGCCAAAGACAAAAAGAAACTGCTGTGATTAAGGAATTGCAAATGTACAGACTACAGGGACCAAAGAAAGAGTGGCAGGAAATGAGGTTAAAAATATATTCAAGAACCAACTCATGTAAGGCTTTCTAGGCAACGTTAGGTTTGCATTTAAGTGCCACTGGAAAACCCTGTAACTTTTAAGCCAGAAAGTGACATAATTTGATTTTCATGTCACATCTTCTGTAAAGGAAAGACAATACAGATTTAGATAAGGAATCAAAAGGGGACAAGCATGAAAGCAGAAAGCTCAGTTAGGACTGTTAACAATAGTCCACGGTGGTGTTACTCAAATTAGGTGTAAAGATAGGAGGTTTCTTTTTTACTATTTTAAATTTCCAATCCAAGGTCAAGTGAATAAAATGCAGTAACAATGAATTACTAGAAAATAATCATGCACTTGGATGTTGTGACAGTATTGTATTCTCAATTTCTATATGTATCTTGTTGGAAGCCAGAAACAGGTCATGGACTAACACTTCAAGAAGCACTGGTCTAGAGAAATAATGGTTTAGACTTAAGTTGTGGTAGTAGAGATAAAAAGACAAATTTGAAACACAGAAAAGGTAAATTTGACAGAAGTCACTGACCTATTAGATGAGAGCAATAAGCATATGTGAAAAGTGAATAATGAAGAATAACTCCTGAACTTTTTTGCTCAAGAAACAGAGGTGCCATTTATTCATGAAGAAGACACCTGGGATAAAACATCAGGGAACAAAGGTTTTACATCAGTTTTAAGATGCCTATGGCATATCCAAATGTTAAACAGGCAGTTTATATAAGATATCAGAGATAAGAAGAGATGTCTGATTTGGAGGTACAAATTTGAAAATCATCAGTGCATAGATGTAAAACTATGGAATGAGATACTAGAACCAGCACAATCTTTTTTTGGGGGGGGGGTTCTTCCCCAAAGGAATGCTTTATTGACAAATTTCCTATTATCCATTTTTAGGAAAAGGTAAATCAGTTACTACACTTGCATCCTGCTTTCTCACCACACCCCATCCGTGATTCTAACCCTGAAGAAAAATCACCACATGCTGTTCTTCCCATGGCGTCAGCAAGGACCGCAGTCCACCCAGGCTGTCTAAAGGGACCAGCAGACACTCAGCTTACCAGAGCACACCACGGTCTACCAGAGTGGACTGAGTGCATGCCCCCCCACCCCCGACCCAGGAGTGCACAGGTGCGTGTGCAGGAGCGGTCTCTGCCTGCTGGGAGCCAGTAAGGCACGGAGGGCTGCCCCTCCAGACACACCCCACGTGTGGGGCCCTGACCGCAAGGCTGTTGGGGTGTGGCAGCTTCACAACGGGAATGAGATCTTTGTAGCTCCTGAAAAAAGGCGACAGAACAATCTTTTTAAAATATACAAAGGGTGGGGCATCTGGGTGGTTAAGCGTCCGCCTTCGACTTAGTCATGATCTCAGGGTCCTGGGATCAAGTCCTGCATGAGGCTCCCTGCTCAGCAGGGAGTCTGCTTCTCCCCCTTCCCTACCACCCTGGCTCCTGATCTCTCTCTCATTCCCTCTCTCTCAAAGAAAATATTTTAAAAATTAAATAAATAAATAATAAATAAATAAAATATACAAGGGGCTAATTCTCTCAATCTTACATGTAAAGCAGAAAAACTAGAGCTGTAGTCCACCTACCCATTTCAGGCAATCTATGAAATAAAAGTAAAAAATTAAAGTTGGAGAAGTATGCACTGCATATGCATGAGAAAGAGGAAGCTGGGATACGTGAAAGAGATTTAATCTAGAAAGAAAATGACAGTAAGGTACAGGACTATGGCTTACCAAAGGCTTATCCTTCCTAATCCACTGAAAAACATGTGCTTTTTGTTAGTTACATTCTCTAAATAAATGTTTAGAAGTTGGGAATAACGTAGATACTTTCAAATATCAAATTTACCCAGGGACTTGCCTGACACAATTAGTGCTAGATAAACATGTGGTGAAAGAATAATAAAAAGGAAAAATTAATCAATAATGGAACTCTATATTTGAGTTGCCCCAATGAAGAGGTAAACAAAATGGTGGTTCAGTCCCTCATTTGGACTCTACCTACAAATAAGTTATAAATGCATAATCTCTCATCTATAACATATTACAATGCCCAGATAGGTTTGAGCATTCATGTATTTTTCAATTTTGAAAAGATAACATTAAGTGAACATGTCATATATTACACAATCTCTTTGAAATTGGGCAGCATCCCATAAGCAAATACAATAAACATTTCTACAGCAAAAGAAAAATTCACTAATCAGGACAAAGATGACAAACTGCTTACTATCCACTCAAATCAGTTTTTATTCATAAATGAGTGCTAAAAACTTGTGGAAAAGGAAGAGGGGATCTCACATGGATGGGCATCAGAATATTTGTTCTGAGATATTAATTCACATTAATTTCAATCAGTTTAATTGCCAGTGCACCTTGGTAGAACAATTGAAAAAGAATAATAGAATATTAAGAGTTGAAAAGACACAGAGCTCCTTAGTTTACATATGATCTTCCCCAAGGTCACAAAACTGGCTGGTAGAATCCAGCTCCCTTAACTTCATTTTATCACATGGTACATTTGAACAACCTGGTTTATTTAGATCTTAGTGCCTCCCCCTACACCTTTCCTTGTCTGACAAATGATTTTGAGAAAACATGAAATGACAAGAGTGGGTTTAGAAACCTCCGGTGGTGATTTCTCCCCTTTTACACCATTTCTGAATTTCTAATGTGATCCTCTTTAGACTGACCAGCTATAGCCTCCCATCCCTCCCTTCCAAAGAAAAACAATTCTGTATCAATCATTCAGCTGCCTCTACAATAACCCTCTATTTCACAGGTTGTATTTCTTGGGTCCAACTGAGTCTGGCAACTCCTATTGCCTTCACTTTTTCTTCCTTCCTGAAAAGAATTCCTTTTTAGCTTTTCCTAGTTTCTGGCACCTTGTACATACATGGAAGGCATTCAACTAATATTTATTCAATTTAATTGTTCTTCCTTATACTCTTACAATGGCTTTTGGTAAGGTCCTCTCTACTTAAAAAACAGTCCCACAGTCCTGCTATCTGAAATAAATTTATCCAATGTGCTCCAAATTTAACACATGGCCAATGAAGCACTTCTCTTCTCCACTCATCCTCAAAAACAGGAATGATAAAGATTCCACACAGATCCACTGAGGAGACGGGAGGGGGAGGGAGAAGGAGAGAGGGGAGAGGAGAGGAGAGGAGAGGAAAGGAAAAAGGAAAGGAGAAAGGAAAGGAAAAGGAAAGGGAAAAGGAAAAGGGAAGGGAAGGGAAGGGAAGGAAAAGGGAAGGAAAAGGGAAGGAAAAGGGAAGGAAAAGGGAAGGGAAGGAAAAGAGAAGGGAAGGGAAGGGAAGGGAAGGGAAGAAAAGAAAAAAAAAAATACTAGTCATGTCAAAATCCAGATGTATGGATCCAGGACACATTCCAATATAAAATCATTCCAGTATAAGCCACATATGTTCTTAATATCATATTTCTAAAGTGCTTCCAGAAATATTTAGTATGTATAATTTACATAATTTTAGAGTTAGCTTGTAAACATACTATGAATAAAAACACATCCAAATCTACACTACTGATACTGCCAAATTTAAGAGGATGATCACCCAATTAAATTCTTGCCTGTGCCTTTCCAATCCTTTTCATTTTCTTCATAGCCATATTCAATACCACTGATGAGGTAAAAAAGACACATGGTATAGCCTAACACTATAATTATACTAAATGTAAAAACACCAAAATCAAACCCAAAACATCTAAAATGAATATATGGTTGGTATCTACATGCATTTATAAAGATCAACCTTTTTAGGAACTAGGAAGAGGGAAGAAAAATATTTCAAAATAACTTCAATAATGCCTATGCTTACCACATATTTTACAAAACTGATTACAGAATCTTATATGCTCAAGAACAAACACATCTGAAATTCTAAGCATCAAAGCTGCTAAACAATCTATTAAAATTATGGTGCTGTGCTTCCAACAGGGGAGGAAAAATCTCATCCATATGTACTCTCAAACAAGAATTGGTGAGGGGATGTGTACATATACATAGCTTTTTAAAACATTTTTCTAAGATCTTAAAAATATTTTCTAAAAAATTTTCTTTAATTCTTCAACTCTACCTATTTGTTCAAGTAAATGTTCCTATATTACTTTGTAAGTACTTTGAAGTAAAATTTCAATTCCTTCAAAGCACTGTACATATCAAAAAAAATTTCATTGTGACCATTAAAAAAACAACAAAAAACCCCCCAAAGTTTTGTATTTTACCTGGTCTTGGTACTGGCTGTGCTGCAGGAGCCTGAGTCTTACGGGCCGATGCACCTTCCTTTAAAAGAATAAAAATTGACACATGATGTTAGAATTCCTTTACACAATAAACACTTCCATTTAATTACTGCAAAGAAATTCTGTATCTCCTTGTTTCTCAATCAGTCCCTCCACTGAACATGCTATGATCCTAAGCATTAAACACACACACACACACACACACACACACACACACACACACAACAAAAACACCTCCCTTATCTTTTATGCTATTGGTCATGAGGTAATAATAGGAATATTTAGTAAAAAATAAATTTAAACTGTTACCATACAGTAGTTATTGTAAGCATGTAACATTTTTAAAATATTTAATGATTTGCTTAATTGTTGACAATTTTAATATTTGCTTAAATGTTATTACCCATTTTAAAATCAAGTCAATCTTTTTTCTATTAAACAGTCACAAAATGAATAAATGATACATAATCTCACATTAGAAAGATGTAAATGATGTTACTTTGGAGTGCATTAAAAAATTCCACAAACATTTCAAATTAAATCTCTTTAAAATATTCAGAGAAATAATCACATTTAAAAAGACGAGATTTGTTACATTTAAGAGTGGTTGAAAATTTTAACTAAATAACAATCTCAACTGATTACTAAGCATGTAATATACAGAAGAAAATATGCTAAGTATTGAAATATATATCAATTATACATTCAGGAGTAGATGCCTCTGAAATGCTTAAGATACTCAAAAAGCTGTCTTTAGTGTACCAGTTTCAATCATATTCACACTTAATAGAAAGCTACAAATGAAAAAAAAAGCTACAAATGTAAATTTCAAAACAACTAGTAATTCATGGTGATAATACTCTAGTTGTACTCAACTGAATGAAATTTGATAACTACCAGGGAAGTTACATAAATCCATAATAATAAAAATCAGTATTAGAATCACAGAAACATTTCTAAAGAAATACTGTTAAATAATGTTAATTTTAACCATATTATGTTCTCTTCAAAACTTGAGATTCTGCAGAGTAAAGTAATTTGGAATGGTAGGCTATACCACAGTTTTTTTTTTTATATAAATAACTAAATCAATTAAAGACATTTTAGCTTTCCATCCCATGTTCCTGCATAAAAAGGAATCAACTAGATATTATATAATAAACACAAAAAGAAAATAAACATTACCCATATTACCTAGAAATCCTTATATGTAAACACTGACTCATGGAATATGACTTAAGTACACACAGAAACAGAAAAAATAAATGAGACAGGAAGAAGAACAAGGAGCACACACACATGCAGATATCTGTCTACATTTGACTATAAGGTTAGCTGGATCCAAATCAAAGCCCCCTTCTTTTAAAAAGAGTAGACGAAGTTCAAAATCACAGGAACAGCACTATGTGCATATTGAGAACTATCAGAACCAAAACTGATTCAGCTGACTACTAAAATATACCTATACTATATGACGAGACTACGGCTCTTACAACATGGGTCAGCAAAAGGTACAAGCACACAGAAGTAATATGAAAAAAAGTCTTTTCCATTAGAAATCATAACCCTTAAGGGTTTTTATCTACTTTTGAGTAAACTCAAAACTGGGACTTCTTTAAATACCAAAAAATAGGTGTCTTCTGTTTACAAAGTAAGCTATCATTGCCTGATGACCTCCTACTCAAAATTATCCCTTTTTCGGAATAAGCCTTAGCCCTTGGTCAGTGGGAGGCCTATGTCTTAGGCTAGGTCAATCAAGAGTTCTCCCCTGTATGTTTTACTAACTGGAACTAGCAAGTTACAACTCTAGCTACAAGGCTCCAAGGTGGTTAAACCAAAAATTACAGATGATCATATATCCCTTGACTCATGGGTAAAGCCCAATCTGCAGAAGGACAGAATGACACTAGTATGCACAAAAAAGAGGTAAATATAACATCCCTTTTAACACCTACCTAGATATAATAGCCTGCAAGGCCTATTCTCCCCCCACCTCTTCTTGATTATATGAACCTTTAAAATCCCTCATCGCAGGACTCTATGCACTCCCACACACATTTTTAACTCCATTAGTTGAGCAGTTACTGTTAGTTGCAACTGGAAGAGGTCTAACTTTGTCTTCTCAGATGGACTAAAAATTTTTAGTTGCCAAAGTTACTGCAGTATAACTTTGCTTAATTCTGTAGTTACTAAACAAACACAAATAAGTGTAAATGCAAGCACGCATTCACACACTCTCAATCTGTCTGTCTCTCTCTCTCTCTGTCTCTCTCTCTCTCTCTCTCTCTCTCTCTCTCTCTCTCTCACACACACACACACACACACACACCCTATACAGCTATTAAATTGGAGACTGTGGACTCCTTGAAAGAAAACTGGGAAGATCTTTACTAATCATGTCAGTTTGTAGCCCTTTTAGGACTCCCTAGCCAACACAAAGAGCTGAAAGTTCATTCCACTCCAATCTGTACTATTTTGAAATAAAATTATAGAAGTCCTTGCATAAAGAACCTCAGAAACTATATAATCCAACCCCACCACTCCTTAAAGATGAAAAAACAGAGGTGAAGTTTTTCAAAGGCTACAAAATGGTGTATCTGACATATGCAAAGAAAAAGGAGTAAGAATTTGGCAGTAATATGGGGAAGAGACTGACAGTTCCACATTTTTAAAGATACATGGATTGGGGGAAAAATATAATACCCATCTAGGAAAATAAAGTATCAGCAAAAAAAAAATATAAAAAAGCCAACTAAAAGAGTTGACAAGTTGTGCTAACTGGAGAGGAAAACTTGCTTTCTCTTGAAAAGTCAGAACAATTACAATTTCCACCGAGACCTGAGGCATTCTGGAAAAGAAATAACTGATAAGAACGGTAGAAGTGATAGAATCATTTTTGTAAAACATAACAAGGCAAAACAAACTATACTGTTTATAATCCTTACTTGCCTTATTTTAGCAAATGAGAAAACCTAAAAATCTCCTGGTACCGGGAGAGACAATATTGGTACTTCTGCTTTAAACAAGCAGGAAACAGTACCATGATATATAATATCATGAGAAAAAATATTTGTAACAAGTGTCAGTATGAAAAAGATTATATTTACTTAATTTGGAAAAATGCTTTTTATATGAAACTTCATAAAATACTGCAAATTTTAAATGAAGAAAACATACAGAATATATATGCAGATTCTGTAAGTTTATAATCTACTTTTTAACTACTGTATTTATGACAGCAAAAGTAACGTTTTAAAAATGAAATACTAATTGAACCCTTACATGCTTCTACCTTTCTACACTAACACACTCCCATGAAATGTGGATTTGATATTTAGAATTCCCAAATACCAGGATGCTTTTTTAAAAAAGCATCTGAATTTTAAGTACCTTGACTCTTTAAAAAAAAAAAAAAAGTATTTTGGAAAAACTATATAGAAAAAGAAAACTGCAACTCTATAGACAAATGACAATGAGACTGAAAACATAAAAGATTTCAAGAGTAAAACACAAGTTATAAGCACAATTTATTTTTTTACATTTGCCATAACCCAGAGGCATACGCATACAATGTCTGCCAACACAGAAAATAGCTAACACATTCCTAAAATATACTATAGTGTATCTATAGAATATATAGATTTGATACCTCTATCAAATCCCTCAATTTGCTATAGAATTCTCTATTTACTTGTCTGCTTCTCTCAACCAGACTGTAAGCTAACAGGTCAGGGACTATTATGTCTCCAATGCCTGTTACATGGTGCCTGATGTATGGAAGGTCCTTAAAAAATTTACATTAACTAATTAAAACAAAAATCCATTTGCCTTAACATTACTGATTCACCACTGTTAAAGTGTTTTAATCTGTTAAATAAAAATGGTAAAAATATCATAAAGAATTATTGAGAGACTTAAACAACATTAATTTATTCATTCTATACACATTCATCAAAGCACTGAAAGCCAAATAAGAAACTGGGAATGCATCAGTATAAACAAGAGCAAGGTGGTCCCTGCCTTCATCATGTTTTGTAATTTAATGGAGGATCAGTGAATGAAAGTTTAAAAATTATAGTTACATATGTGTTTTTAGTTATTTGTAATGTGCATGTTCAGCTTAGTGCCCAAAATAAAGAGAAACTAGTAATTATTAAACCAACTTCTTTCCATAAAGAAACATCCTCTATAAGAAAAGAACGAGCAAACCAAGTTCAGCAGCATACTAAAAAGATTATACACCATGACCAAGTGGCATTTATTCCTGGAATGCAATGATGGTTCAATATACGAAAATCAATAGAAATCACATTAACAGAATGAAGGAAAATACATGATCATTTCAAATGATACAGAAAAAGGATCTGACAATTTAACATCCTTTCATGATTTAAAAACAACATCACAATTCACAGCACTGTTGAATCACAGATCTGTACCTCTGAAACAAATAATGCAATATATGTTAAGAAAAAAAAAAAAAGAAGATAGCAGGAGGGGAAGAATGAAGGGGGGTAAATCGGAGGGGGAGACGAACCATGAGAGACTATGGACTCTGAAAAACAA